CCCTTAACATATCCTGGGTTGTTTAAATGTGCTTTGTGAGCAGTGATGAAATGACAAGTTATCATTGATCTGTCCTTTCTCCCATCTCAGAGGGATTCATTAAATAATGCATGCACCCATGCGAATTGCTTTCTTCACTAGAGTATCCCCAGACCATTAGCCAAATATAGCAACATTAGCATCTTTCAAGCCTTAGAAACCCTTTTGGCTTTCATTTAATTAAATTATCCCATTATGAAAACTCTTATAATGAGATTAAATTTAATTATTTATTAGACACTTATTTGCACGAGGGAGCCTATCAATTATGCATGGTTGAGCTAAACATTTTTCAATCCATCACCTTTCCTTTTCAAGGAAGGTGCAATTTATTAAGTACATTTGGGAGACTATGTCTAGGAGGCCTGAATGGGAATAAGTATTTAGTCCAAGAAAAGTTAACATAATAGGATTAACATTACAATGTCTGCAAAAATAGACTGGCAAAATTGCTTTCATTTATCACAGGGCTCTAGGCCTATATATTTTTGTTTGTTTGTTTGTTTGTTTTAAATCTTTTAATAACATCTTAAAGATTTTGGGGTATTTTTTAGTATTCATCACTTATTTGTTTCTGTTAAATACAGAAATAATAACTCATTGAATAATATAAAAAGTGTTTTGGAACTAATAAAGTATATAAAAATATAGTTTTTAAATTACTCTATATTAAAATGTTAATATTTTAAATATTTTAAATACAGATTTTAAAACTTTTGTGGAAATAAGCATTGCCAAATACAGCATCTTCCTGTATTTGTAGTAAAAATGGACTCATATAATGACTCCCTTGGTCACCACTTTTCCAGCTTAAAGAGTGTTCAACTCTGTTAACCTATCTTGTTCAACTGTCACCTTCTATTCCTTTCTATAGAAGCACCTTTGTGACATAATGCCACTTTTACAATTTTTATGAAAAGAAAAGTGAATGTTTTAAGGGAAAAATTATTTTCACAATAGAATGAATTTTCAGTAAATACTATGACAATAAGTGTCAATTTAGAATTTAGACTCTTTTTTTTTAGACCTGTAATATACTAAAATGCACTTCTTTTCAAATTATGAATACATACACAGTACATCATGCTTCTACTCAGTGTGCTCCCATGGTTCTTTATTTCACTTTGGATAAAATGGAAACAATTCCCCAATATGACTTACAAAACTCCACATAATCTAACATAATTCTCTGGTCTCATTCCTTATGTCTCTCCCCTTTGATTTGACTTCATTTGGCAACTTTAACCTCCTTGCCTATTCACTGTATACTCCTGTCTCCAGCCCTTCTCTCATGCCCTTCCCCCAGATGTCTCCAAATGCTACCTTCTCACTTGCTGTAGATCTTCACCCAAATATCATCTTGCTGGAAAGCCATTCTGTGGTCACCCTGCTGTGTGTGTTTGTGTGTGTGTCCAGCAATTCCTCTCTTTACCATATTTATCTCCAACTGTGCTCTGATCTTCTTCATTGCACTTACACATACTTATTACAGAGGTATGTGTTCTACTCTACATCTCCTACTAGAATATAAGTTAAGGCACTATTTTATTTTCTTCTCCATCTCCTATACCTAGAATATTCTGTAGCATGTAATAGATATGCAACAAATACTTGCTGAATAAATGAAAGAAAAAATACTCCATTTTATAAGACAATGTGTGTTTAGATATTCTTTATTCAAATAATATTTAATTGTGCTTTTGGTGATAGTTTACACAACAGTTTAAATTCCTATTCAACAATTTTCACACAAAACTTTAGTGACATTGGTTACATTGTGCACATAACATGAGCATTTTAATGATTGGTGTGCTGTTTTATTTCTAGACATCTAGTATCCCTGCCCCCTTACCTTCTCATCATTGTTTTAAAGGAATTGTTGAACTTTTTTGTCTTCTAGAAATGATTTATTTCAAAGGGTCACAGTAATTGTGAGTGATGATCTGTATTTTGTGACTTAATCTGTTACTTAGCTTAAAGGTGGCACTGTGAGACTTTCAGTTCATAGTTTAAAGTGTGGCTTGGAACAGGGTCTCAGAGTTTTCTAGCCTCAATAGGTCCTGCATTAAAAAAAATTTTTTATAAGAAGTTAGATTCTGTTCCTTTTTTTTACCGATTCAATCAGGATATCTCTATTGTGGCCCTGATTAGAATGGCTGGAAATGATATTGAAGAAAACAGAAGCACTATCTGGTTCTTGAGGGCTGAGGGTAGATGAGGTCATGGAGGTGAAGACCTTCAGTAATATAGGCCAGTTTCTTTTTTGAGTCTTTGATATCTTATTTTTATTCCAGATAAATAGAGACTAATAGTTGTATCTTAGTATATTTTAGTTCTGTAGTTTTCCAATTTTGTATAACTGCAGTGTATATATGCATGTGTCGTTTGTGTTAAAGAGAATGGACTAGAGAGGGAAGAAGTGGAAAGGTAAATGTTTGTGTCACCAGCCTTATACATAGCATTTAATATTTTAAATATTATTTTACAAGCTGAAGTGATTTTGAAGTGTAACAAGAAAATAAGATTAATTGTGATGGAGGAATGGAGCAAACAGAGTAGCATGTGACCTATTGAAAGACATTAAAAGGGAATGCTCAAGGGTGAACTATATTCTGATTTTCTAACTGCTGCCAAACAACGGATTTTTTATGTGTAATGTCCCAATTACAAGATCCCTTTGTGAAACAAATTAATTAGGGTACCATCTTACATCTTCAGTTTATACTGCAGCTCTAAGTGGCAAGTAGGAAAATGTTTAAGTAGAAAAGAGAGGATCATGGTTTTTTTCTTTAGGACGCTTACCTTGAGTATTACTTTGAAGATTGTACTAGACAGATGAGAGTTAGGAAGCACATAATATAGCTCTATGGCTATTGTAGTAGGAAGGGAAATGAATGATGCATTCATGTGGTATCTGGAGGCATAAAGGAGGTATAACGGGCAGCATTTTATGAGAAATCAGGTTAGAAAGACGGAAGCATCCAGGATATCTTCCATAATCTTTTCCCCCCCTAACTCAGAAGAGCAGGTAGAAAGTATCAGAGGCTGATTTAGGTCTTCGAAGGATGATGCTTGATGGAAAAAGAATTTTAAAGTATTTCTAAATACAAAAACTGAGGTTTTTTTTAAGGAATTGGAAGTGCAGGTCAAGGGTTTAGGGCCGAAGAAGTGTTTGCCAGCTTTGGCATGATTGTCATTTTGGTCTGAATAATTCTTTATTCTGGGAACTTCTGGTCATAACATAGGGTGTTTAACCACATCCTTGGCCTCCACACTGTAAATGCTCACAGCACATGTCAGTTGTGACAACCAGAAATGTGACATTTGCAAATGCTCCTGAGGTGCAAAATTGCCCTCTGTTGAGAATCATTGAGCTAAAAGCCATGAAATAAGGAGTTCTTGTAATAGTGGGCAGTATTTTCAAACTTTAATTGAATACTAATTACTGGATATATTTTAAAATACAAATTTTAATTCAGTTGGCCTGAAATTGGCCCAAGATCCTGCAATTCAGGCTAACTCTCAGGTGATCCTATTGCTGCCAGTTGAAGGGTTGCAGTTTGAGTAAAAAAAACCAAAACTGTAGATGATACTTAAAATCATATAAATGCATGAAGATTACTTAAGGAAATTGCATAGAGCACGAGTTTTGTTTTTGTTTTTTTTTACAGGTTTCATCTGAATACATATTTATTAGATAAATATTAAAGGTTGTCACAGCATCTAACTATATGCAGCTTTGCAAGACTAAAAATCACAATTAGTTTCTGACCAATTGAAAATATGAAATGATTGCATTGTACATACGATGTCCAAGGACAATGGTGGCTTTTTGCGGGAGACACTTCAGACTGTATTTGTGAGGGTGTTGGTATGTGTATGTGTGAATCACCTGTGATCATGATATCAAAAACTATACAAAGTATGAATTTGGTTACAATTTTCTCTTGAAATCCCCGTTCTCTTCATTTTTCCCCCATAGCACCCTAAAAATACACAGGTGGGAGGACTAGTACACTGAAGCTAAATATTACACGTAGGTAAAATAAAAACAAAACAGAACAAAAAACTGCTTTCCACACAGGAGTTTTTAACAAGGAAAATGTGGAGTTTAAGGAATTATGAATTAGCCATCCCTAATGTCTGTTTTATTTTCTTCCTCTTATTTTAAAAATGGTCTTTCTTTTTCTCTCTTTCTTTTCCATTTCCATTTGCTACAATGGCAGTATGCTCAGAGTCAGTTAATTTTGCAGTTAGAAACAGACGTCCACTAAGACGGTACAAGTGGAGTTAAGTTTAATAAAGGAATTGTGTTCACAGATGTCTGCAAGGGTAGGAGGACCAATAAAAAATAGTGAGACACCAAAATGCCAGTCACATTGGAATATCCAGAGTGAGAGTTCAGGTCTTTTGTGCAAAACTTACTCTGAGTCATTTTTGACTCAACAACACTTAACCACTGCTAAATAAGACTAGTCCAGTTATATCTGGAGGAACATTCTTTTACTTTGTACATCTCTCTTTGTCAATGTGCTATATGTGGTTACCTGGGTTTGCTGTGATGCTAAACTTTGTGCCATTTGGGTATCAAATACCAGAATGGTTTTCCATTGTGGATGGTGTTTGGTGGAGCTCCCAGCTATAAAACAGGTTTGAAAGAAGGAGTGACATCCACTTCCTTTTTTTTTTTTTTTTAATATTGAATGAAATTTTATTTTAAAAAGTAAAGGTTTGTATATTCTTTTAAAACATGAAAATTTAAGCCTTAGAGCTAATTACAAAACTGTTTATAGCAGTAATTACAGTATTAACATTATGTCAGTAAAGAAGTGTCATAAAATTCAAATCACAACTTGCATTATCCATGATTCAAGTGCTTTATCCCACACAAGATTAGTCAGCTTTAAGATAAAACCTCTCTCCACAGTCGGTCCTGTATTCTTCATTATCAGTCTGACAGATCACACTGTAGGGTAGCTGGCTGCTGTGGCGATTCCACAGTGGTTATTTTGGTCTTTGGCCATCTTTACATAGCCATTTGTGCCCCAACTTACACCCCAGCTGAAAGAAGAATAGGTTTTTTGTTTTATACAAAGAATCAAATAAATACTAGTAACATTATTAAATAGTTAATAGTGCTTATCATTGATGAGACAATAGTCTAAAATTTGTAACATATATTTTTGTTAACTTTTACAAGTCTTTATATTAATGTTCCAAAACGAAAAGCTGAGGCAGATCTGTGGGTCTAATGTGATGTAACTTATATATAAAAAAAAACTTAAAATTTCAAAATTGATTCTCGTAACTTCAAGTTCTTTGAGGGCTAGAAAGTAAAATTCAAAGGCAGAAGATTGACGCCGGTTGCAACACCCCCATGATACATCCCGAAGGACATGCACATGCACAGCCAAGCACAATCAATAAGAATGCATCTGAACTCCAAAATCAATCTCCACAACAGTCTATGTGCCTCCCACTGCCAAAGGGGCCCTTCAGAGCAGCGAGAGAAGATCCTCACCCCGAAACCCACAGCGTCCCCCCTCAGCAGGAAGCAGCCAAGAGAACACGCCGTCCCCCCTTCCCCATGACCCAGGGCGAAGTCTCTCTCAGGGAGGAGCGATAGGGAATGGCAAAGGACACACTGACAAAGAAGATCAATCAGAACTGGCTTTGACAAGCACCTTGGCACCTGGACAAGAACAAACTGGGAGGAGGGCAGAGAGAACAGTGCAACAATGAATGAGTGGAAGCCCAAAATCTCTGCAAATGTCCATGAAAATCAATAAAACACAATTATAGGAAAAAAAAAAAAGAAGATTGACGCCATAATTCAAAGACCATGCAATAGGAATACTTCTAATTGAACAGAAAATGATCAGCTGAGACAGATGTTTCTGCTCATTATACTCTGTTGAAAAATCATAGAATGAAAAAAGAAACTATTCCTCAGACAAGTCTATAATTCTTTATCTGAATCTTTATAATAAAAATTTCAGAATTTAGAAATACAATGTTTAAAATATAATCTTAATACTCCCAGCCAGCTTAGTATGGAATTTTAAACATTAACATTGCTATACACATTCTAAGTGGAAGTAATAAGACTCCACGATTTCAAACTGAGCTTTTTGTGGGTCTTTATCGAAATGATGATTTTAAATAAGGGTTCTTTTTTCAATTTCAAATATAATATTTGGTGATTTATACCTGTTCTTGACAATCCAATATTTCCTTTTTTCTGAATCTTTTTCTTCAAAGCCATAGCCAACCACGAGAACACCATGGTCCAGGTTTTTGCTGCTGCAGTCTGGCTCATAATAAATGCCTGATTCATAAAACTGGAAGGACTCATGGCCTGCATCAATTGCAACAGAGATGGGACCTACACTTGCCACTGCCTTCATCAGTGCTTTCTCTCTTTGAGGAATATCTATGAAGCCTGTGTCATTGGCAGCAGAATATTCAGGTTTGTAGTTACAGGCATGTGTGTCCACTTCAAGATATGGATACGATTCCTCTGAATCAATGCCTTGATTTTTCTTAATGTATTGAAATGCATAATCCATTAGGCCACCATTACAACCATTATTGCCTTCAGGCCGAGAGCAGTCCACCAGGTTCTGTTCACTGAGTGAAATAAGTTTGCCAGTTTTCCGGAACATTTGTCCTTCAAGAGCACCAGTTGCACTAAAAGCCCAACATGAACCACACTGACCCTAAAAAGGAAATACAAAAAAGTTGTCAGCTTATAAAATAAACAGCAAGACTTTGACAAAAAATACTTGTATCTGAATACTACGTGAGGTGTGATGGGGGAGTAAAATGCATGTCATTCTATAGTTCATTGAAGCAATGAGTGCAATTTCTTTTTTGTTTTTACTATTCAAACTAGAACTGAATTTGAATCATGCCATACCTGATTCTTCACAGGCGTTACATAGCCTTTCTGAGTCCAGTCCACTGATTTTGGGACCTCAAGAAAGACAGGCTCACGGAACAACTTTCCCTTCTTGTGTTTCTGATTTTGAAAGCCATTCATCATCTGCCTAAATTCTTCATTGGTCATGTCACCAAAGGCATTCATGGCCATAGAAAAGCCATGTTTCCCTTGGCTGTATTCCCGATTGTGCAATTCAATCATTTTCATATTCTTCTCC